ATTTTTAGAAAATGTAACATAGATATAACAAGAAGTATATGATGAATTGATCAGCAGACCATTCTGGAATCGAATCCCAATATGGAAATATCCCTGACTGTAATGCCAAAAGTCTATTTTTACATTTTAAATGATTTATTAAAGATTTCTTTTACAGTACCATTTTTTACAATTCTTTTTACAATTCACACCAAAGGTCCATTTTTTAAAATTATTCTTCGCAATATTAATATCGGGATATTTTAATATCTGTTTTTGTCATTTTCATTTACCTTCCTTCATTCTTATTGGTCAATTTAGTGATTGGCAAAACAAAAACAATCGCCAACTTTTAAATATTAATATGGACAATGACTAGATATTATCTCGTAGACTGTTTTCATATTAGGAAGTAATAATACACTTAAAGAAAATTTTATATGTAGCGAAAATTTTCAAAGAAAATTAGTTTTGACAATAATATCTTGTGTTACATCTATTTTGAACCAGTTCCATAATTTCGAATATGTTAATTAATATTAATGTGAATATTCGAATATCATTTCGATTTCTGATTCCATGGAACCAGAACCAGAACCGCCACATCCCTAGATAATATGCGATATTTGCTAAAATTATTCGCAAAAAATCTAATAATATTTATTATTATATATATATATATATTAAAATAAACTACAGAATTTTTGCGTAAGAATATGTAAGATTACGTTATAATAAGTTTACGAAAAATTAATTGTCATAATTAAAACCCGTAGTAATAGAACAAAAGAATCCTTTGTTTCTCTAATACTGCCAAAAAAAAAAAAAGAATTAATTCTATAAATACCTTCTTAGTTCCATACAATTTGAAAAGAATTATAAATACTTTTTTAATTTGAAAAGAAAAAACAAAAAAACGAAATGAAATTCAACCTTTTCTTACTCTTCTTGGCCATCTTCACCGCCATTGCTCTCGCGCATCCATCACCAAACAATTTCGAAGACAAATTAGCGAAACGACAGGATTGTCATCAGTGGAGAAGTAAAAAATTTTCTGGATTCTGTGCTAGTGATTTTAACTGTAACACTACGTGTGAAACTGAAAAAGATGGTGGATTCGATGGAAAATCTGGAGCTTGCCATCAGGATGGTCTTGGATTTGCCTGTTTCTGCAGTTCATAATAAAATTATTATACAGACAGTAATATTTATCAAGTTGAGTTCTTCTTAAGTTTGCTGAAATAAAATTCGAGGGTCAAATTAAAAAAGAAAATCTTTTATTGGAAAGAAAAGGACAAAGAAAGAAAGAGGTAATTTATTTCCCAAAGCTCCTTCCGTTGACAGATGACCTACTCTCCTCCTTAAAGATCATTCGACAAAATAAAATGAATGGTACAAAATCTAACGTGAAACTTAAGTGGTGTCAGATTTGATAGAAATAATCTATGCTCATGTTACCTCCAGTTTGAAATATTGGGTGCCATATTCTGAAATTCAAAATATATTGGAATGTAATGTTATAAACTATCGAATTCGTTATTTGCTTCTAACTAAAAAAGATAGTATAAATATTTCTCTTCAAATTCATGCCTACAATAAATCAGTATTAATTAACATTAACTAATATTAAACTTTTTCTTATATATATACTTCCTTAAACCTTTATTCGAACTATATAATCTTTTTGATACAACATCTATATATAATAACCAATTATTTGTTATTTAATTATAAATTATATCATCCTTTTTATATTCTCTCTTCTAAAAGCTTTTCTATTTCGTTCATTGATTCATAAACATCAAAATACTGTCCATTTTACAACGGATATAATTTTCAATGCTTCAAGTAATTCACTTGTTTATTTAGTAATTACACATTTAAAAAATTACGTAACACAATGAATTAATAATTTATTGTATGTTTTGGACGTAGAGTCGAATACTATTGTCCAATTCTTGAAGAGTTTCATACATTTAAAACACGATTTACTACTATCCTTTTGTCCTTATTTCTTGCTTCTCCTGTTCGTTTTCTTTTGCATTCATATAATTAATAACCACATACAAAATCCATTGAAAAATGTTATATATCGTTTATATTGCTATCTTCCTTTCTGTAATTAGTTAATCACCGAAATTCTGGGTAGTTTTTTTATGTCCATTGTTTTGTAAATCTGAAATTACCAACCATAAACTATTTTCAATAATAATTGTAAAAGGGTTACTATCATAAATATTTTATTATATGAAAATTTTATGTATTAAAGTTTTTCTATCTGTGATGGCAGAACCTAATTTGAAAACATAAGATAAAAAGAATTCCCAATGAAAAACTAAGATAGTATTGCTGAAATAGCAACAAACTTCAAAATTACGCAAATATTCATGAACTATCAAGTCCATGAAAAAATGTCTCAATTGGCTGTGTTCTTTACCAGTAAAAATAAATTATAAATATAATAGTAACTTTTTTGGATTTCTTGCTGATCTCGAGAAAGGTAGAAATTTTGAAGTCCTTGGAATATAATACAAACTAACTAGATTCAAATTATGAGTCCAAGGACTGACTTGTGCAATGCTTGTCAATGCTTTCAAAATGATTTATATTACAATGTTTGTAAGGAGAAAGAAATTGAAAGATTACCCAAAAATTTAATTAGAAAGAAATTATTATAAGGACAAGAACAAAGAAAAAAATATGATACTACTGTTTATTATAATATAGTTATGATGATCGAGTTCATGTTCCACATTCAGATCAACAAGTAAGTAAAATTTATTATCTTGGTTCATGTAAAGTTCATTTATTTGGCATTCAAGATGAAGCAATAAGAGAACAAATTAATTGTGTTCTTAATGAAAATGAAATTATAGGAAAAGGTCCTAATGACACTCTTAGCATGATTTTTGATGGAATTAAGAAATTGAATAAAAGTGAAAATCATTTAAAGATTACTTGTGATGCTGGTGGACAAAATAAAAATAACACCACTATTTGGTTTCATTTATATTTAGTAATTTGTGACTATTATTGAAGTATTGAATTGAATTTCATGATTACAGGACATACCAAATTTAAATATGATGGTAGTTTTGGTTTAATTAAGAAACTCTATCGAAAAACAAAAGTAGATTGTGTAGATTATGTGGTTGAAGTGGCAAAAAAGTCTAGTCCAGCAGGATTAAATAAATCTCAATGTTATGAAGGTGGAAAGGTTTTCAATACTTAGATATCAAATCTATTTTAGGAATTTATTTTAAAAAATTAAATGGCCTACAAAAATATCAACCTTTTCTTTTTGAAGCATTTAATCTTGGTACAGTGAAAGTTCAAGAAGTTGCTAATGGTTCTTTTGTTAAATTTTGATTTATTAAAAATTAGGAGAACAGATATTTTTGAAGAAAATTAGAGCTTTATCTATTTTAGTGTTAATGTCACCTCCTTTAGACCACAAAAGACAAAAATACTTTTATAATAATATTCTCCCATTTGTGGAAGATGAATACAAAGATATTGCTTGCCCCAAGCCAGCATAAAATGTAATTGAATAATTTTTATACTAAATAAAAAAGTGTTAGATGTCATAATTAACTTTTATTTTTCCTAACCTTATTTACCTTAATAACTGAAATAACTAGAAAAAAAGCAAGTGCTCCACAACCAACCATTCAGTAAGTTTCTTCTTGTTTGCTCTTTTTATTCCACTTTTGATAATAAGCCTCTCGATCTCTTATTTTTTCTGCAACTTTCTCATCTTCCATAGTGCCTAAAAATTGATTGTTTTTTGGGGTCTGAATTAGTGTTCCATGTCGCAATCCAAAAAAGGAAACAAGATGGTTGTAAAGGTGGTTGCAACCAGTGGTTGCAATCATTTTTATATGACGCAAAGATGGTAGCAACCATCATCAAAAGTTGCAGCCGGTATCCTTAGAGTGGGTGTACCTAAGAATTGTTCTTCGAAATTGAAGCATTAGTTTGGAAGAATTTGATGCACAGTTAACAAATTTACCAAGTGGGATAACAATTCAGCACTATGTGCCTCATCCTCGATCAGTATTCGAATTCATTACACAAAACCAGATCACATATACTATTTCGGCACTATGTGCAATTGAATGTGACACATAAAGCCAAATACAGATGGCAAATTCGGCACTTTGTGTCTCAATCCCTGAATTGAATGAATTGCGAAAGCAAAATTGATGTATGTTTTTTGGTCAGCAAATGGGGAAGAAATGATACTTATAGTCGATCGTGAACATTTGTCGATAGTCACGTTTGTTACATAACAGAGTCAGAAACCGGGATATGAAAACATATCTCCACCTCAAAAATTCTGCAAGTGTCATGATGACAGAATGCAACACTGTCATCATCGAGAGACCTCTGACAAACACATTCAAATGTGGCCAATATATGATAGTTTGCGTGTGGCCAATTCTCGTCATCAGGCCACATAGTAGATATATAGTCTAGATAAGTAGACACAATCTAATAGATTATGTATCTACTCCAGCAACAATACAGTTCAGCCAAGTGAAATAAATATTCCAAGTCTTATATTTTAGTATTCCACTAATTATAATTTTAAATAGTGTTTTTGGTAGATTTTTGAAAAAAGGATGAGTATTAAAAGAAATCAAACATTTGGAAACAAAGGAGGTAAGCAAAATTCTGTAAAAAAATAATTATATACCATTCACAAGAGTTTTTTTCATGCAGGTAATGTTAATAAAAGTGATCACTATATATAGTGTTCAAAGTATGTATTTGAATTATTGAAAGTGGATAAAAGTGAAATAAATCAAGTGTCAATTCCAAAGTAGGACTATATAGATTACTTATTATTCTGCAGCATGCAAAATTGAAACATCAAGAAATGCTATAAATTCAGTGATTTCTAATAATAATAATAATAATGTAATAAATAACTCATAAATGGGTTTTTAAATTTTATTTGAAATAAATTATATTTTACATTTCACTTTACTCTATTTGTCTAATAATTCTTTGTAATACTAGAATTTTCCTATGTTTCTTTCTAATTCTTTTTCTGCCTTTGTCAGTTCTTTTTCTAATCTTTCATATAAAAGTAATGAAAATTGGTATTGAACCAATAATATAGAACTTATTAATTCTAAAAGAAGTTTAAAAAACACTTAATCTCTAAAGGGATTTAGAAATTTTTGAAAACAAATGTATTTATTAATTTATATATGTAATATACCAGAATCGACAACTATTAAAGAGTAACTATTTATTTTAATATAAAAGAAAAAATAATTTTTACATTTTGAAAAACTTAGTTTCTTCTATCAAGAGATGGTATGAGATCCACCACCACCACCACCAGTAGTAGGCTGTTGAGCCTCTCTTCTAGCGGCATCTTGTAATAATGATGTGTCAACAGTACTGGCAGGCAGTTGGACATATCTTACAACAGATCCACGTATAAAGCAATTCTTTACTGCCATCTTAAAATGTTAGAAATCAGAAATTACCAATTAAACAACGAAAGATATATGTGTATAGAAGAGATCTAGTTCATCCAAGACGAATATAAATACCATATGAGGATATTTTGCATCATCAACTACTCGTATATTATCCAATTTGATATTGAGAAATTGATCAACCGAGCTTAAGATGCCAGTAATGGCTAAATCGTTTTTTAATTCTACAATCACCTGGTGACCTATTAAAGTCTTGAAAAATGAATAGAAAAGCTACTTTTTGGTTAGAAGAGATGAAAAAAATTTTTTTTTTATGTTAAAGGAAATGAAATTTCTTACCATTTATTTTTACAAAAAAGATCATGTAAAATTATTTTTCTTTTAAAAAAATATACAGAACAAACAGGGGATGATGATTTTTTGTGTTTCACAAAATTATGTAAATCACAAAAATTTTCTTAACCCATTTGTATCATTATAAAAAAAAGGCACTTAACTTTTATAGTGAAACTATCATTTATATGTAAATGATAATTACTAGGTAAACTTGTTAATATTACGTACGATAGACGAAGCTTTTCTTTTTATAATACAATAATCGTCAAGATATGTTATATTTTAACAAAAAAATGCTAAAATTTCACATACAATAAGAATTGTGTCACATATTTAATAAAATTTAATATCACAATTCTCTTATATAGTGCAAAGTCACTTAGTACCGCACTTTTTATTGAGAGTGTAGATCCCTCAAATACTCCAAATATGGAAATGCAATACCCCAAAATAAATCGTGTTTTTGAAGCCAGGACCTTCCTCTACAAAGTTAAGATTTCATCTTATAGACATGTCATGTTGTTGTGGAGGACTTGAGCCTCGAAAATCGTGCGAGTTTACCAAATTTACCATGTTTAGCCCTAAAATTGACGTGTTACATACAAAAAAAGGTATTATCAAAAATAGACGAATTGAAACAAAACAAAAATTTGAATCTTTTTGTTACGTGAATTTTCCAGACGAATGGAAAGAAAATTTATTCTTTATATATATAAAAAAAATACAACAAACAGCTAAGTTCATTTATTTCAAATTTAATAGATAGACTATTGCATTGATCAAAGAAATGCACAAAACATATACTTGCTATCTTCCACCTAGCATCAAAAATATATTTCATGGAAATACATTCATTTCATTTCTATTAATGTCATTTGTAAATTTTAACTAATGTCACCGATTAAATTTGGGAGAGCGTATTTTAATTGGTGATAACAATTATTTTTGTTTTGTGTGGATCAGATCAACGAATTGATTTTGTTATTAGCGAATAATTTTGTGTAAAGATAAAAGTTTTTAAATAAATTATTACTATTTTATTTATTTAGTTTTATTTAGTCGAAACTAATTAACTTATTATCAAGTTACTTTTAAACCAAGTTCTTTATATACATGTTCTTTACATATCAGCCCGAATTGGGCGAATCTGCCCACTTTGTATTTGGGCGATTCCGCCTAGTCTGGGATAATCGTCATTAATCTCTACTAAATAAAGTTAAATAAATATGAATGTGCTACGGATAAAAATTAAAGACGGGACGTAACACGAATTCAGATGACAATAATCATACACGTTATTAATAAATAAATAGAATTAATAAAAATAAAATAATAAAAATGAAAATAATGAAAATAATAATAGATTAAATAATAATAAAAATAAAAATAAAAATAGAAATAAAAATAAAATTTAAATTGTCCCGGAATCAGTGTTTAACAGTCGCTGGACATTGCGGATCTACAGGGGGTCAAGTGTCACTCATATATAAAATTAATGATCTTTGTGCATAATTTTATATGTAAAATCGAAGAAAAAAATCACTCTGGTATACACAAACCTACCTGATTTAACCAAGATTGTTCCTTGAATTATAAAAATCAAAATATATGGAAGAGTATTATTATCATAATCATTTTTACATTCAACACAGATAAAGACAATGTCAGAATAACCATCAGGAGTATTATGAGCCACCATTTGATGAGTAGCAGGAGCAGTATCAAAATTATGGAAAGTTGGGTCATCAAAATCTAGAAAACAGAAGTTACACTCTTGTTCATCTCCCTTTGCTATTTCCAGAACTCTATATTCTAATTTTATATTAATCTACTTACTTTTCTGAATGATAAAAGCTTGGAATTTCTCTTTAGTTTTTTTCTTTTGCTTTATTTACTAATTGTTTAAACTTTTGTAATCTATTTTCTTTTTGTTGTTTTGGTAAAGCTGGCAATTTTTTGTTTGCTAAATTATCTCTTCAGTTTATTTCCTGATTTTTAGCTGACAAATTATTTTCCAACAAATCTATTCGGTCTAAGAGTTTGCCCATTGCAGCATCATGTTTTAGTATCACTTCATTCATTTGGCATTTTCTCCACTTCATAGCTGTGTTTAATGCTTTTTCAGCTTCCTCTTGCTCCATTTCCACTTCGTCTTCCAACTCTTCTACTTTTATTTCCAGTTCTTTTTGCTTTGCTTCTAATTCAGCAACTTTTTCTTTTAATTCCTCTTTTTCTTGGTAAGTAAAACCAAAAGTTTCTTCATAATTTCATGATTCATCAGCAAAACTTTTAACAATATTTTCAGGAGTGAATTCATCACTGAAAATAACTCTTCCAATTTCAATCATCCGGAAAATATAAAAAAATTTTACACATGTCAATTGTAAGTTTAATAATAAAAAAGTGTAAAACTTACGTCGGCACTGTAAGATTTACACAATATTACGCTGGCATCGTAAGATTTATGCAATTTTACGCTAAATTAATTTCCTGATGATTCCATTCCTTTCTGGATAACTAACTCAACCATTTTTAGGCCATTTAAATATTTCTAAGATTCTTAAACTTACTCCAGTATATTCTGAACTTTCAATAAGGCTGTGAACAGCATTTCAAGTTCTTAACTTAAAGTTTTCTTCTTTTTCAGCTAATTGTTTCTTCAATAACTCTATTTCATTTATTAGTGTTTTGTTTGCTTGTTGTTGTTTGTTTATAATGTTTACCATGTTTGTTCTTTTTTTTATATATTCTTTTAATATACTTATATCCTTTTTATAAGGGTGTATTAAGTATATAAATCATTTTAGTACTTTTTTACTTTAAAAGTGGAAAAAACTAACAATATTTGTTAAAAGATTAAACACAATAAAGTAAGGGACAAATTAATGAGTGACAAAGTCATGGAAGTGATTTTATTCAGAATATTTTATTTGTCACCAGTATAGATTGGTCTTGGACAAGTAATACCTTTGTATTCATCTTTCACAAATGGGCAAATATTGTTCTAAAGGTACTCTTGCCTTTTGTAATCCAAAGGAGATGGTGTCAATACTAAAATAGATAAAGCTTTATTTTCTTCAAAAATACCAGTTTTCCTAGTTTTTAATAAATTGAATTTAGCAAAAGTTCCATTAGCCACTTCCTGAGTTTTGACTACACCAAGATTAGATGCTTCAAAAAGAAAATGTTGATACTTTTGTAAACCATTTAGTTTCTTAAAATAAATTCCCAAAATTGCTTTAATATCTAAGTATTGAAAACCTTTTCCACCTTCATAACACTGGGCTCTATTTAATCCAGCTAGACTAGACTTTTTTATTACATCAACCACATGATCCAGACAATCTACTCTGATTCTTCTATAGAGTTTTTTGATCATCCCAAAATTACCATCACATTTAAATTCAGTGTGTCCAGGAATCATGAAATTCAATTCAATACTTTCATAATAACCACAAATTACTAAATATAAATAAAATCAAATAGTAGTATTATTTTTATTCTGTCCACCAGCATTATCACAAGTAATCTTTAAATGCTTTTCACCTTTATTCAATTTCTTAATTCCATCAAAAATCATGCTAAGAGTGCCATTGGGTCCTTTTCCTATAATTTCATCTTCATTAAGAACATAATTAATTTGTTCCCTTGCTGCTTCATCTTGAATACCAAATAAATGAACTTTACATGGACTAAGGTAATAAATTTTACTTACTTGTTGATCCAAATGTGGCACATGAACATTTTGGGCTCAATCATAACTATAATGGGCAGTAGCATCAATGCTGCAATACTGTGTTTTACCCTTTGAATAATGTTGATTAACTAATTTTCTTTGTTCTTCTGCTAATTTTGTATTTTTATTATAATAATTTCTTTCTAATTTCGCCTTGGATAAATGTTCTTTAAACCTTTTAAGTAAATCTTTAGCTTCTTCCTCATGGCGAGCATTGTAATGTAAACCATCTCTAAAATGTTGACAAGCATCACACAAATCAGTCCTGGGACTCATAATTTGAATTTCTGGTGTCAATTGGTGTCATAATTTTCTGAAGGCATCATACTTCAATGATTTCAAATTACTATCTTCTTCCGGACCAGCTAGAAAATCTCTATGGACTGATTTATAACTCATTTCAACTGGTAAGAATACAATTGATTGAGTTATTCTATTGATACTTCTTCCTGGACTTGGTAATCCATGGACTTCTGCATAATTTTCTAGAAAATTCTTACTATTTATGCAACATTTTTATCAATCACCATCTTAGTTTTCCATTGAGGCATTCTTTTTATGTTTCCATGTATTCTTGATATAAGTCCATTGTTTATCAGATGACTTCTAATATTTTCAAAGTAAGTCCTACCAATTCCTAACATATTAAAATATGTTTCTTGGCAAAGAGGTGTATTGTGGTCCCAGTGATAAAAAGTCCTTCTATTAGATCTGGTTTTCTTTTTAAGGTGTCTACTAGTGCTTATTAATCCACCATCCATTGCTTTAAGTTGGGCCATTAAAAATATGTCTTGTTCAGACTTGGAAAGAGCTTGAAAGGATTCTCTTAATTCTGCAAATCCTTCTTTGGGGATTCTTGAAGAACAACCACAATTACACCCTTTTTCTAAAAAACCAATTGCCTTTCATATTCATTAGAACCATTATATTTGTTAATAATTTACATATACACTTATCCCTATATATATAATTTTATGTTCACTTTGTAAGTTTTTTATAATTGTTTTAAAATTGAAGTAGATGAATGGAATTAATCTTAGATGAATCAGTGGAATAGGTTTGAGTAAATAATTTTAAAAATATGGTTGTTCAATAATTTATGAAAGGAATTGAAAAATTTAGTCAACTGGCCCCATTAAAAATAATTATGTGCAAAAATTTCACGTTTCCTGATTTTTTTATTAATATTAATAAAGATTTACATTTATCAAAAAAGATTTTACAATATTAAAAATCATTATTATAAAACATCTTTTAAAAAAATTTTATACATTTAATTGGCAATCCGTTTATGAATGGGTGCAATGTCAATCATTTTATTATGAAATTTTGTCGCTAATTGTTATTAATAAAATGAGAAATACCCCAAATCTCACCGTCTTCACAAGTTATTTCTCATGTACACACAAAA